AGGAGCTGGAGTTGGGTGCACTTCCCGCAGATGAAGTCAGTGGGGACACTAGTGGTGACCCTTACCTCCCACATTCTACAGGAGGAGCATACAACTGCCCTAACATCCATTCCCACTGTTCTGAATTCCCAAACAGACAAATTAAAAAAAAAACAAAAAAACCTAGTAGCCTTACCAAATCAGCGCTCAGAACTTTTTTTTTTGGTTGGAGGAGGAGGATGGGTGGGAGACACTACCTAGGTAGTGTTTTGGGTAAAGCAACTGCCCAAATATATTACCTCACTTACTCCAAAAAAATGGAGTCACGCGAGGTAAGACTTTTATAATCGAAAAGCTCACCTTCCCAGGCTGCCCTCGCAGTTCCTCCCGGACTCCGGCCGCTGAAACAACTGAAAGGCCACAGTCACGCGGATTAAACTCTACCTGCCATTTCTCTGCCCACTCCAGTTTCTGTATCCCCTGGCAATCCTCCTCACTATCCACTGCTTCACCAGTCATTGTCTCATCTGCAAACTTACTGATCAGGCCACCTACATTCTCCTCCAGACATTACAAACAGGCGTCCCAGTGCTGATCCCTGCAGAACACCATTGGTCACAGATCTCAGTCAGGAAAAATAACTTTCAACCGCCACACTCTATGACTGAGTCAGTTTTGTATCCATCTTACCAGCTCACATGACTTCACCTTTTGGTATCAGCCTGCTGTTGGCGATCTTGTCAAAGGCCTTGCTCAAGTTCATATAGACAACATCAACTACCCTACCTCGAATCAAATTTGTCACTTACTCAAAAAAAAAATTTAAGTTTGAGAGACACAACCTTCGAGGCAAAAAGCTATGCTGCCTATTGCTAATAAGGCCATATTTTTCAAAATGTGAATAAATCCAATCCAAGAATTACCACAGATGTAAGGCTGACCAACTTGTAAATTTCCGATTATCCCTGTTGTCCTCCTTAAAGGAGGAAAGTTGGCTGTTCTCCAGTCCTCTGGGACCTTTGACTGAAGTGGATACAAATATTTCATACAAGACCCCAGCAATTTCCTCACTTGTCTTCCTCAGCATTCTGGGATAGATTCCTGGGGAATTGTCTACCTTTAATGCTTTTTAAAAAACACCCAATATCTTTTCAATCTTGACATGCCCCAGAATATCAACATACTCCTCCCAAGACTCCCCATCCACCATGTTCCACTCCTTAACGAATACTTTGCATCAGTATTCTCAAAAAGGTCCTCATCCACTTCCTGTGGCTCCATTTCTAAATTCCCACCTTTGTCCTTTCCCTAGCTACCCACTTGCTCATTTTAAAAAAAAAGGATAAAATGCATTGGGATTTTCTTTAACCCTGTTTGCCAAAGACATTTCATGGCCCCTTTCAGCCCTCCTAATCCCTTGTTTGAGTTCTTTCCTGCTATCTTTATATTCTTTTGAGGGCCCTACCTGTCTTCAACTTTCTAAATCTTGCAGATGCCTCCTTTTTCCCTTTTTGAAAAAGCTTTCAATCTTTCTTGTCATCCTTATCCTTCATTTTCACAGGAATATGCTGGTGCTGAACTCTAATCAACTGGCCTTTAAAAGATTCCCACATGCCAGATGTGGATTTACCCTCAAACAGCCACCCACAATCTACATTCCCTAGTTCTTGCCTAATATTCTGGTAGTTAGCCTTCCCTCAATTTAGTACTTTCACCTGAGGACTATTCTTTTAGTTATGGATAAGGATCTTTACTTACAGAATTATGGTTGCTAATCCCAAAATATCCCCCTACTAAAACTGCAATCACCTGGCTGACTCATTCGCTCATACCAAAAGTAATTTGGCCCCTTCCTTCATTGGACTGTTTACACACCTCTTTAAAAGAAAGAAAAAAAAAAGCCTAGTCAAACCTAACATCTCCCCCCACCCCGCCAATCCAGGCCCCTGGCACTAGGGTGGTCCCAGTCAATTTAGGGGAAATTAAAATCATCCACCACAGCCACTCTATTGTTTGGACATTTTTCCATAATATGTCCAGGTGTTCCTCTGTCTCCCGCTGGCTGTAGTACAATCCTCAAGTGATTACACCTTTTCTATTCCTGAGCTCTAACCATGTGGCCTTGCTGAATGAGCCCTCCAAAGGTGTCCTCCTTCAGTACAGCCGTGATATTCCTGCTTATCAATAATGCAACTCTAAAATCCCTCTCTATCTTACCTGAAAGATCTAAATCCCAGTCTTATCCTTCTCTCAAGGAAGTCTGTGTAATAGCTACAGCATTATAGTTGTGTATTAATCTAAGTTCATCTGCCTTACCTGTCATACCCTTCATATTGAATCAAATGCACTTCAAACTGCCAGTCCTGATGAAGGGTCTAGGCCTAAAACATTGACTCACCTGCTCCTCCAGCTCCACATTATTGATTGAAACTCAGTCCTGCTGCGCTTAGTAACCTCTCCCTATCTGTTCCTCCTCTTAGACTTTCGTGGCTATGGTCTCTGACTCCTCCTCAGTCATTTTTATTTGCTGACCTATTGCTCTACTTTGGTTCTAGCACCCCTTCTCCTCCCCCAGCAGTGACACTAACAAACCTCCCTGCCAGGATATTGATGCCCCTCCAGTTTAGGTGGAACCCATCCTCCTTGTACAGGTCCCACCTGCCCTGGAAGACATCCCAATAATCCACATACATTCCTTGTCCTGGAGATGATCACTGGAGGCCTGTTCTTTACAGGATACAGCAGTGAGAAGGTAGGTCTTTTTCTTGGGTCATGGTGGGATAGGACTTTGCACAGCCATCTCCTTGCCCTTCATCCCTCTCATACCTACCCACATCTGCACCCCCCATAGACCAGTAGAGAGGTTGCACTTGTTTTCAGATCAGGGAAGCAGCCACTTATCTCTTTTCTTCCTTTTCCTTTTTTGTCCCTGCCACACTGCCACTGCACCTAAAGGGGGCCCAGCAGTAGTGCTTATTCTCAAATCACCTCTGGCTGTGCGTGTGTGTGAGATGTCACAATAAAAAAAAGACAGCACTGTGTGAAAACTTTATTCTATATTCTCCAACACTAGGAAAACATTCATGTAATTGTTAATGTTCCACTTGATAAAGTCTAATAAGGGCAATGCTCCCTTCAAAATGTGAAGGGGAGGGTAGGGAGAGAAGGAGGGTACCAAATCAAAATGGTGTTGGAGGGGGAAATAAACCACTCTATCCCCCGCAGTGCCCAGCTCTAACAGCAGCAAGAGCATTGGTGGACACTGCGTGGTCCATCGCCAATGACACCTTGGCTTGAATGTAACCATGGAAGAGGGGCAGGCAGTTGGCAGAGATGTTTCCTTCCTGCCCCCCATGGCCCATTGGCTGAACAGGTCCAGACAATTTTCTTATCAGTCAAGAAGGCAGGTAATTGGACTGGTGGTGAATTGAGGCTCTTAAGTGGCTGTTACTTGATCACTTAATGGTGGGTTGTGAAAATCCTTAATTCACAACAAGAAGTTAATTGCTGATGTGGTAAATACTCTACTGGACAACTGGCCACTCCCACCATTCTACCATAAAGATGTTGGAGCAGATAGTAGGCCTTTCAGCCCACTGACACTGCTCTACCACTCAATGCAGTCATTGCTGATTGGATGATCTTCCAACTCCACTTTCCTCCATTTTCCCCATACCTCTCGATTCCCAATCTGTTCAAAAATCTGTCTGTCTCAGCCTTGAATATGCCTCAACATCTCACTGAGTAAATAATTCCACAGATCCACTCCCCTCGGAGAGGTGATTCCTCCAGGTCTGCCTTAAATGTGTAAACCCCCACAATTGTGAGCTTCTGCCCTCTGGCCCTAGACCCTCCCACAAGGGGAAACAACCTCTTTCCCTGTGAAGTCTTGTGAGACTATGCTTCTGATGCCATTATATCTTTCCCTTGATTAGAGGGGAACCAAAACTCTACACAACATTTCACACTGATACAAGAGGCCTAAGGTCAATAAATAAACAAGTAGCAGAAGTAATAACAAAGTCTCAACAGTTCTTTGACCATTTGATTTTGGAAACATTTCTGAAGGGGAGCTGATCCCGTTTCTCTTACCGGTTTCAGCACCCGTTTAATCTCTTTCAACACCGCGTCCACATTCTGGGCGGTGCAGAGCACTAAAGTGCAGACCACGGCGTCTACAGAGCCGCTCTCGACTTGGCTCAGATCTTCGCCGCTCGCCACCACAAACCGCTCGAGCTTCAGGTGTTTGTTCTTGGCACCACTGCTCTTCAGCAGGTGCTCGAAATTCGGGTTCGGGTCCGTGCAGATGACCTTGCAATCCCAGGGGTAATACTGAAAGTTGGCACCAGTACCACAACCCACTTCCAAGATTGTCAGCCCCGAGGAGCTGGCGAAGTCCGGCAGCCGGCCGAAGAGTTCCTTCTTCACTTTATCCATCTTCTCGTTGATAACAGTGGTCATTCTGCGCATGAGGTACGGGAACATCCTCTTGTACAAAGGGTCCCAAAAACCGATGTATTGCAAAATGGTGACTGGAAGAACCAGGATCTCCACAAGGGAGCGCAGCACAAAGCAAACAAACGCCATCTTTGAGGAGATAGGATTGTCGACAGGCCTCTCTCTCTCGCTTTCTGTTCAGCTTTATACTAGGCGGAGAGCAACTCTCTGCGGCCCTTCCAGCCGCGACGAATTGGTCAGAGGGAGCTGCCCACGGCCCACCCCTCTCCAGTGCCAAACGGGAAAAGGGGGGTGGGGGGAGGTGGTTAGCAATTGCCCTGCAGAGAGAGCCTGTATCGATAGGTTTGAATTTGTCTTTCAAAAAGATTACGGATTCTGTTTAGATGTTTAAAAAACTCCGACTAAACAGAGCTGATAATATACACAGAAACAAAAACAAAGTTGCTGGAAAAGCTCAGCAGGTCTGGCAGCATCTGTGAAGAAAAAATCAGTCAACTTTTCGGGTACGGTAACCCTTCCTCAGAACTTATATGCCAGTTTATTTTTACATTAGTTTTGTACTGTAGTTTGGAGAAAAAGAGGCTGAACTTTTTTATTAATTCATTCATGGGATGAGGGCATTACTGGCTAGGACAGCATTTATTGCCCATCCCTAATTGCCCAGAGGGCAGTTCAGCCTCAACCACATTGCTGTGAGTCTGGAGTCACATGTAGGCCAGACCAGGTAAGGATGGCTGTTCCCTTCCCTAAACGGCATTAGTGAATTATTACTATTTTCCTGGGATCACAAAGTATTTATATGTATATAATACATGATAACAATGCTATATGTGGCTTCTTTGCAATTTTGCTATGGAAGAATGATCCCCCTGTGACCCTGGGATAGGATCTACCTGTGAAAGAATTTCTTGAAGAGCAAGCAAAGGCAATACATCCCAGAGAAAACACTTGCATTTGCCTCAAAAGGAAACCAGATGCTCGAACTTTAACGTGGGAAATGTGCATTATGTTTTGCAGCTCGTGCATTTTTTTAAAGCACTTTTTTTCATTTCCAAAATATACCTTATTCATAAAAATCATCTATAAGTACATACAAATATTCTAAATCAGTTACGTACAATCTTTGCAGAGAGGAAAAAACAAACAAAACATTGGAATTTTGACATTTCTCTGAGCTTCTCTACAGTTGCAAAAAAAGTCATTTTCTACTTATGCAGGTAACTGTTTACATTCATTTGGAGGTGCCAAAACAATTGAACAGATCCTTCTTGTACCGTGACAGAAAGACCCTAGACGATGGTCTTTCCCCGCTGCACATTCTCTTCCTTACTTTATTTCACTTGCTGGTTAAAGGGGAACAGAAGTCCAAATCCTGGATCTACTAACATATGTGACTTAATGGTAAGGTGACCTGACATTAATCAGTGATCCAGACTAACATTCAAATGCAATATATTGAACCAGATAACCACCTCATATGCTAAATCATTCTATATGACCAGAAAGCTTGTTCAAGGAGGCAAGATTTAAGGAGTGTTTTAAAGGAAGCAAGATAGGCATAGAGCATTAGGCAAGGAATTCCAGAGCACTAAAACAGTCTCAATCAAAGCTACAAGTGAAAGTGTGGTCCATTATAATTTACTGACCTCTCTGCAGCCTTTGATATGGTGAAACATGTCTTTAATGCTTCGCCTCTGTTATTCAGCTGTGTGTGACTGCCCTTTACCTATTAAATCATAGCCAGAACATCTCCAACTTCCTGAACTGTTGTGTCCAGAGTTTCTCAAGGATCTTTATTTTTGGGTATCCTTTCTTTGGTGGCTCCTCGGTGTTGCTGAAGTAGGATGCTTCTCAGTGTTGTTATCCTATAAGATCTCTTTCTCTCTCACACCCCTATTTAGTGCATTCAAGAGTCATCTTTTCCCGTAGTGCCATTGCAGGTAGCTATTCCCTTCAGTACTACCAGACACCCAGATTTCCTTCCCTTCAACTGTGACACACCCTAAGAAAATCTTCAAATATTTGCAATGCCCTCCACAGTTCAGGGGGTGGCACAGTGGCTCAGTGGTTAGCACCGTTGCCTCACAGTGCCAGGGACCCAGGTTCAATTCCACCTCAGGTGAGTGTATGGAGTTTGCACATTCTACCTGTGTCTGTATGGGGTGCTCCGGTTTCCTCCCACAGTCCAAAGATGGACTAGCTATGCTGAATTGCCTGTAACGTACGGAGATGTGCACGATTAGCCATGGGAAATACAGGGTTACAGGGATAAGATGGGGGTGTGGGTCTGGGTCTGGGTGGAATGCTCTTCAGAGGGTCAGTGTGGACTCGATGGCCTGCTACCATAGTGTAGGGATTCTATTGAGACCAATTGTAACAATGTAACAGTTGAAATCAGCACAAGTTCAGGATGAACCTTGAGTCTTTCTTGATTGATATAGGTTTGTATCTCAACAGTAGAAGATAGTGAATTCACAAAGCTGTGATAATTGCCAGCTGCAACAGTGCAAAAGGCTATAGCAATGTAGGATACAAAGTGAAGCAATCTTTTGCTCCTGGATTCTGCATAGTTCAAATATTCTTGATTAGGAACTTGAGAAGAGTCTGCTTTCTCTGATGAATTAACTTTGTTTATCAAAATCTATTCTGCAGCTAAATAGACATGAATATAACATTGCAATTCAAACCTGTTAAAAAAAATCCTATTTTTGCTAACGACTTGTAGTTTTACGACATTGAAAAGATTTTTTTCTGTTTACTGAAGACAAACAGACAGCAACCTCCATTTATTGAATTTAGTCATTTGGCAGTCATGCATTCTAGCTTAATCTTGCAAAATTCTGTGTTTCTGTGAAATGTATCAACTTGCTTGAAAAGTATCATGCATCATCTTTGAATCAGTACTATTCATTGTATAATTAAGAACATCATCTTAAGGGATGTGTATCTCCAGCATTGAAAAGGTATAAGCAATACTCCAATACTTTGGTTAGAAATTCTCTCAGACTTCCTAAAACTTGCGTCATGTTTCTCTGTTTTTTTTTAGTTATCCCTTTGTACTATTTTGGCTGACATTAAATGCATCGCACAATAAATGAAATTCTATCATACTGATTTCTGTAAGAAACCATTGCATTTAGATAGCGCCTTGTCATGGTGAAATGTTTCAGATTGTTTCACGTGATGAATTACTGTCAAGTGTAATGACTCGTGCCTTCTTCATTCTACCTCAGGATCGAGGGTGACTTGTTTCTACTCCGGTTCGATAGGTTCTGAGATGGCTGATGAGTCCAGTGCGTGATCTGCAGAGTCTGTCACATGCAGGACAGGTGGGCTGGAAGGGTCATATATATAGTTTGTTTGGAGTTTTGTGCATTCTCTCTGACACCTCAACTTCCCCTCTGTACATTCCTGACCAAATTGCTTGATGTTTTCGGTGATTTCTTGAATCAGCCTTCTGTATTTTGATCGGTCACAAACCACAACATACTTTGAGGACAACCCTGTTTTGTCTTGGACTGTTAGGTAGATTTGGAAGCCATGTTGCTGGTAATGTCCACATGTAGTAAAGAGATAAATGAGCAGATAATATACTTTTGCTGATGTTGATTAAAGAAACTTGATCGAGTTCAGATCACCATGTCAACTAGTTGAGTTTCACCTTCTTGACTTATAATGTCACTGTGCAATTTAGTCTTCACCAACTGGTGATGGATATGTTAACATTCCCTGAGCAAAATATATTTCTTGCTATAATAACATACCAACTTTTATCAACCCTATTAACATTTTGAAAAATGTAAATAAAGTAAAGCAAACCATTCATAAAGCCTCCTATCACATCTTTCAGAAATGTCATAAAACAGCTTCATGTGCAATGAATTATGTGAAGTACAGTGATTGTCAAGTAGCCAAACATGTATCATGAAGGGCTTGAGGAAATCATAGAATCCCCACAGTGAGGAAGCAGACCATTTGGCCATTTGAGTCTACACCAACCCTCTGAAGAGCATCCCACCCTATCACCCTGCATCTCTCATGGCCAATCCACCTACCTAACACATCCCTGGACACTATGGGCAATTTAGCATGGCCAATCCACCTAACCTGCACATTTTTGAATTGTGGGAGGAACCCAGAGGAAACCCAAGCAGACATGGGGAGAATGTGCAAGCTCCACACAGACAGTCACCCGAGGCTGGAATTGACCCAGGGTCCCTGGCCCTGTGAGGCAGCAGTGCTAACTATTGAACCACAGTGCTGCCTTTATGCACTTCTTACATTTGTGCGTGTGTGTGTGTATACACTCAAAGTATTTATTCCTTCTTCCGACATGATCTATATGTCATCCCAATAATGACACCCCTAACAATGCACACTTCCTCAGTTCTACAGTGTCAGCCTGGAGCTTCTGCTTAAATCATGGAATGGAACCACAAGCTACAAGTTACAAACTACTGACTCAATTAGGATCAACTGAGCCAACTGATAATGGTCAGAGAATTATATTTCACCACAATTGCAACACAACAATAACTTGCTGGTACATGGTTCTTAAACCTTTTGGGGAGTTGGTGGTGCAGTGGTAATGTAACTGGAAGAGCAATCCAGAAGCCCAGGCTCATGTTTTGGGGACTAAGATCAAATCCCACCACAGAAGCTTGTGGAACTTAAATTTGATAGAATAAATCTGAAATTGAAAACTAGTATCACCGTGACACCAAGGTCCCTCTGATCCAGTTCTGAAGAAGGGTCACTGGACTCAAAACATTAACCCTATTTTTCTCTCCACAGATGCTGCCAGACCTGCTGAGTTTCTTCAGCAATTTCTGTTTTGTTTGTGTTCCTCTGTACTTCCAAAACCACCAAAACAATGAACTAGTAGTTTCTCTCATTGCCTCTTGAATTGTTGTTACGCAAAATGTTCATGTTTGCCTACTTGACAAGTCACTGTACTTCAAGTACAGTAATTCATTGTATATGAAGCACTTTATGACCACACCACCAATTCTATGAATTTACTGATCATACCTCCTACATTTATATCTCAATCGTTAATCTATATAACAAACAGCAAAGGACCCAGCACCAAACCCTGTGTTCCAGGGTTTTGACCCAGTGACAGTGAAGGATTGGCAATATATTTCCAAGCGGTATGGTGTATGATGGAGAAGGGAATCTTGAGGTGAGCACAATTCCATGTTCCCTTCCACCTTGTCTTTTGAGGCAGTGGATGCATTTGGAAAGTCCTGTTGATTTTTAAGATTACAGATGTAAGATTGGAACTCAGTACCAAGGTGAAAGGCCAAGGCTCATGTTGTCGGACACCGGCAAGAATAAAGTAACTGGGACCGCTGTAAGTAAGTGATACCGATGTTGGATTTGGCCTTTAGAAAGTTAAAAAACATTGAAAATTTCAGTAGAGCACCAACCAGAGCCATTATTGGTGAAATAGAATTACTTTTCATTTAATTATCTTCAGTGTATTAAATTTCCTTTGACTGCAATAACCAAACCTAATATGACAAAGGATTGCAAATAAGAGTTTGAATGAATGTTTGCATAAAAATGTACAAGGATGTATAGAGTGTTAAACATGAGCCTGAAATCTGAGCTCTGGGCTTGAATCCAGTCCTGATTGAAGGGACCAATGTTCTCTTTCCGTGCTGCCTCTAAACATTGTCCTTTGGTGTAGTCAGGACAGAGATTGCCACATCATCCTGGTGTATTTCCATCTGCATAATTGCAAGTGGTGTTGTAATAGATACTGAGGAGCTAGAGGAACTGGAGTATTCTTCAGAGAAGGATGAGGACATTGAGGAGGAGGAATCTCCCCTTGTAATTAACAGAGCTCAACTGCAAGCCATGATAGGACCTGATTGACACTTGGTTCCAGTAGATGTGAGCTGGGTGCAGCAGTTCATAGTGGACTGTAGAATATTTGTTAGTCATCATGCTAGTATTTAGTTTGCATTGTGGATGAACTTTGGTCTCGTGTTCCCTTCTACTGGATACAAATAAAATCTTATGTTTGTATTTGGTTGGCTGCATGATATTTCCCTACTTGGACAATGACAAGCTGTGGATCTACAGTGGGCATTGAGGATAGGGTAGCGGTGTTAGGGTGTTTAAATGGGATGTAGCTAAGGACAGGTAAACTGTGTGGTGTGTTGGTTAATTAGTGAAAAGGGTGAGAGAATGGGGTTATATGTGCAATAGAGTGTCAGCCATGCCAGCTATGTGCGTGAGCAGCATTGTGTTGTAGCTACTGTGCCATTAAGCTGCCGATGAGGGGCAATGTGTAATTGCCAATGCTTGTCCGGGTGCATTGTGGCCTTTTTAAAGATGGAGTGTGCTCCAGGGATGCCAGGCTTTTGGTGGACGAGTTGTTCGGGGAATGGCGAGTAATAAGATGGGGCTAGAATCGGGTGTGAGGGGCATTCTAGAGACAAGTTAGGTAGAGGTTTGTTAAGATAAGGTTGGAGATCTCACTAGGCTTCGCAGAGAGAAACCTCTGTGAAACTTGACAAAACTGTCATCACCCCAGTGTTCTGAGTTTTGGAAGCATGAGTATGCTCAATATTCTACCCATTGTGAACAGCCAAAGGGATGTTCTGAGGAACGGTCACCAGACCTGAAACGTTAACTCTGTTTTTTCCTTCACAGATGCTGCCTGACCTGCTGAGCTTTTCCAGCAACTTTGTTTTTGTTCCTGATTTACAGCATCCGCAGTTCTTTCAGTTTTTATTTAGCCAAAGGGATGTGTTGTTTGATACGATCCACCATATATTGGGATGAATGACCCACATACCTGCAATCGCACTACCACTGAAGTTCATGTACCATGTTATTCATCTATGTGTAGGCAAAAGGTCTTTTTGACTTAATGCCAGCATCATGTTAGTGGAGAATACCACTTTTGTGTTACAACTGCATAGTTTTACTTTGAGCAAACATTTGTGGCCTTAGGTTGGCTGTAACGTACAGTGAAATGTGGCAAGCTCTCATTGCCTGGTCTTGTGTAACAGACTGGAAAGTCTCCAGTTCTTCCTAGTGCTGCTCATTTTAATGACTGGAATAACTTCTTTGCAAAATGCATTATATTTACATTCCAAAAATACTAGTACAGAGTTATGCGGATCCACGGCAATAGCAATAATGAACAAAGTATTTGTGAAACAGATGTTGAACGCAGATGTGATTTATTTTGATTATAATTATTGTTACAATCCCCTTGGGGGAACTGCAAGCCAAATTTACCAAATGACCTCCAAAGACAAAATTACTGAAAGTTTTCACTTTTTTTATTGTTACATTTACTTTAACATTAATCTGAATCAACGTAAATTAAAAGGTGAATTAACAGGCAAGTGATGCTTCAAATGAAAAAAATTAGCTCTCACTTTAAATGGTTGCTACAACAAAAAGACATTTAATAGAAACATAAGCATTTGTGCCTCTCCACATAAGTAAAGCACTACATAGCTACACAGTTCCACGTAATGCTGTTCTTTATTCACGCAGGTTATGTCAGGAATCCTATACATCTGTAACTTTCACCTTTTGAGTTTCATAGCTTTAATTATTATAATAAGACAAACCTATACAAACGCCCCCTCTCTCTTTCTGTCTCTCTCAGATCATAACACTCCTAATGGTGAAACTTTCCAGAGTTCCTTTTCAACCAAGTAACCAATAACACTGTAGTCACTGGGATGAGGGCCAGGTAGATTTCATCGAGTATGAGATCCCTGATTGGTGTTAATCTGGGCCAATCAGGGAGCACTGGCTGACAGATATAAACAGGAGAGCCTCCTCTCTCTAGGGACTGGTTCTGAGCAATCTGGTCATTGCCCATGTATTGTGCACATGTAAATAAAGGATGACTTGGTGACGGCATACCGGCCTCTGTGCAGTTATTTTAGTGGCGATGAGAGAAAACAGTTTGCTGCTGAAGAAAATTCACTTGCAACAGTTGTCTTTGAATTGTGGTAAGCATTTCAGGCATCATGCCTTTATTTGGGAAGCTTGACTCATTCCATCCTGCCTTCGAAGACTGTGCCCAGAATGTGGAAAGAATGCAGTATTTTTTTCTGGGTAAAAGACATTGCTTTTATCTGCCCCAATGAGTAATCCTTCTGACCGCTTGCGGACCCACTGCATTTTTGGAACAGCTGTGTTTGTGATTGCAAAATTCGCTCTGAGCTCCAACCTTTAAGTTTGTGCAAGACCTCAGCCAAACTGAGAACCTAAACTGGGGAACCATTGCAGATTAAGGGCACGACTTTGGTCCCGGTCTCCTATGAGAAGTAGTTGGTGCAGTTACCGC